TATACAATAATGTGTTCAAAATGATCCTCTGTTCTGGTCCTAGAGGCTCACTTTCCATGCATAACTCTAGGTCCTGCAAAGCATCAGGAAAGGCACTTCTGCAGTTCTCCCAATATGCTGCATAACGAAGTCCGACTCCAACACCAGTGGCGCTCCTCCACTGGTTCCACAAAAAAATGTGTAGCTCCCCTACACTGCTTGAAGTTCAACTCCTCACCATGGAGCTCTGCTCTACTTCAGAGTTCAGCATACACTTCTTATTCAATCTCTAAGTTCCTCCATTAACTTCTTCCCAAAACAAACCGCAGGAATCTATGTGATGGTCGCGCTCACTTCCTGGCACTTATCATGGAGCCCACTCAGGCCGCCCACAAAAATTGCTTTAAGACTGCTTTACGAGGCTTCCTCCAGTCCGGACTTGAGTACACGGAGTCGCCCGGCAGGCTCCACACAAAAATGCCTGCTTACTTTCTTCCTCTTTAAGGAGTTCCACACAGGCGCGACCAAACACTCGCTTTCCAGCCGCCTCCAATATATCCCAATCACCGAGAAATGATTCACTATGTCCTAAACAGCTTCCTCGCCCTTGCTAACAAGTAGCCTTCACTCCACCACTAACACAGGGCAGTATATCCTTCCTTCTTCCAGGAGATCAACAAAGTAGAGCCATCTCTGACGACTGCTGTAGCTCAAGTCAGGTCACAACGTCCTGCTAGCGTCACGTCACCAATGTATCGACGTCTCATTTCATGTTGCTCTTATTAGAAGCTCTTCCTCTGCTCGTATTCTTAGATTACTCACTGACGTATATTACATATTTTCTTCCTCTGACCTCTTAATTTCAGGTCCGGAAAGCAGAATAACTCTCACTGGGTAGACTCGTTTCACCCGGGCTACATGGGATCATAACATTACACAAGGACATCACCCTCATGTGGTATATCAATGAGAAGTATCATTGGATAATATATATATGATGTCAAATATCATATTGTGATACATCCATTGGAGCAATGTTGGGAATCGAACCCTCTAATTGTTCCAGTTGTTCTCATTGATATATCACGTTAGAGAGATTTCTTTATAACTCCATTATACCACTGTCATGTTGCCCCCATTTCTCCTCGCTTGTGTACTCACCTAGTTGTGCTTGTGGGGGTTGAGCTCTGCTCTTTCGGCCAGCCTCTCAACTGTCAGTTAATCAACTGTTTCTAACTACTAACTAATTTTTGTCCCCCACCCCACACACACACACACCCAGGAAGCAGCCCGTAACAGCTGTCTAACTCCCTGGTACCTATTTACTGCTAGGTAACAGGTGCATCAGGGTGAAAGAAACTCTGTCTATTTGTCTCTACCGGCGCCGGGAATCGAACCTGGGCCACAGGATTACGAGTCCCTCGCGCTGTCCACTCAACTACCAGACCGCTGTGTGTGTGTGTGTGTGTGTGTGTGTGTGTGTGTACTCACCTAGTTGTGCTTGCGGGGGTTGAGCTTTGGCTCTTTGGTCCCGCCTCTCAGCCGTCAGTCAACTGGTGTACAGGTTCCTGAGCCTACTGGGCTCTATCATATCTACATTTAAAACTGTGTATGGAGTCAGCCTCCACCACATCACTGCCTAATACATTCCACCTGTTAACTACTCTGACACTGAAAAAGTTCATTCTAACGTTCCTGTGGCTCATGTGGGTACTTAGTTTCCACCTGTTTCCCCTTGTTCACGTACCACTCGTGTTGAATAGTTTATCCTAGTCTACCCTGCCTGTTCCCCTGAGGATTTTGTAGGTAGTGATCAAGTCTCCCTTTACTCTCCTCTCTTCCAGTGTCGTAAGGTGCATTTTCCGTAGTCTTTCCTCGTAACTCATGCCTCTTAGTTCTGGGACCAATCTAGTGGCATACCTCTGAACTTTTTCCAGCTTCGTCTTGTGCTTGACAAGGTGCCGGCTCCATGCTGGGGCCGCATACTCCAGGATTGATCTTACATATGTGGTATACAAGATTCTAAACGATTCCTTACACAGGTTCCTGAAGGCTGTTCTGATGTTAGCCAGCCTCGCATATGCCGCAGACGTAATTCTTTTTATGTGGGCTTCAGGAGACAGGTTTGGTGTGATATCAATTCCTAGGTCTTTCTCTCTTTCCGTTTCATTAAGTACTTCATCTCCTATTCTGTATTTTGTGTCTGGCCTCCTGTTTCCACCGCCTAGTTTCATTACTTTGCATTTACACAGGTTAAACTTTAACAGCCATTTGTTGGACCATTCATTCAGTCTGTCTACTATCATCCTCTGTTTCAATCCTCCTCATAATTTTTGCATTTGTGTGTGTACTCACCTATTTGTACTCACCTATGTGTGTGTGTGTGTGTGTGTGTGTGTGTGTGTGTGTGTGTGTGTGTGTGTGTGTGTGTGTGTGTGTGTGTGTGTGTGTGTGAGAATGTGAGTGTGTGTGTACTCACCTAATTGTGCTTGCGGGGGTTGAGCTCTGGCTCTTTGGTCCCGCCTCTCAACCGTCAATCAATGTGTGTGTGTGCGCGCGCGCGCGCGTGTGTGTGTGTGTGTGTGTGTGTGTGTGTGTGTGTGTGTGTGTGTGTGTACTCGCTTAATTGTACTCACCTAGTTGTGTTTGTGGGGGTTGAGCTCTGGCTCTTTGGTCCCGCCTCTCAACTATCACACACACACACAACAGTGCTTGTGTGTGTGTGTGTGTGTGTACACACCATGAGGTGCTTACTGAGGTTCAGTCTCAGTTCCTGGTCCCATCTTTACGCCATCAGCAATTTTTTGCGATTAATCATGACCTAATTATAATGTTTTTCAAAGATGTTGACCAGACCACACACTAGAAAGTGAAAGATGACGACGTTTCGGTCCGTCCCGGACCATTCTCAAGACAATCGACTTGAGAATGGTCCAGGACGGACCGAAACGTCGTCGTCCCTCCACCTTCTAGTGTGTGGTCTGGTCAAGATTTTTCACTCACGTTATGGTGACTCATCGCCTGATTTTCAAATAAGTATATTAGACATTATATAAAGTTAAAATCCAAGATCCCAGTCTCTCACTCCCTTGTTCACAACCCTCACACTGAACACTCCCGTTGTTCACAACCCTCACACTGAACACTCCTGTTGTTCCCAACCCTCACACTGAACACTCCCGTTGTTCACAACCCTCACACTGAACACTCCCGTTGTTCACAACCCTCACAGTGAACACTCCTGTTGTTCACAACCCTCACAGTGAACACTCCTGTTGTTCACAACCCTCACACTGAACACTCCTGTTGTTCACAACCCTCACAGTGAACACTCCTGTTGTTCACAACCCTCACACTGAACACTCCTGTTGTTCACAACCCTCACAGTGAACACTCCTGTTGTTCACAACCCTCACACTGAACACTCCTGTTGTTCACAACCCTCACAGTGAACACTCCTGTTGTTCACAACCCTCACACTGAACACTCCTGTTGTTCACAACCCTCACAGTGAACACTCCTGTTGTTCACAACCCTCACACTGAACACTCCTGTTGTTCACAACCCTCACAGTGAACACTCCTGTTGTTCACAACCCTCACACTGAACACTCCTGTTGTTCACAACCCTCACAGTGAACACTCCTGTTGTTCACAACCCTCACACTGAACACTCCTGTTGTTCACAACCCTCACAGTGAACACTCCTGTTGTTCACAACCCTCACACTGAACACTCCTGTTGTTCACAACCCTCACACTGAACACTCCTGTTGTTCACAACCCTCACACTGAACACTCCTGTTGTTCACAACCCTCACACTGAACACTCCTGTTGTTCACAACCCTCACACTGAACACTCCTGTTGTTCACAACCCTAACACTGAACACTCCTGTTGTTCACAACCCTCACAGTGAACACTCCTGTTGTTCACAACCCTCACACTGAACACTCCTGTTGTTCACAACCCTCACAGTGAACACTCCTGTTGTTCACAACCCTCACACTGAACACTCCTGTTGTTCACAACCCTCACACTGAACACTCCTGTTGTTCACAACCCTCACAGTGAGCACTCCTGTTGTTCACAACCCTCACACTGAACACTCCTGTTGTTCACAACCCTCACAGTGAACACTCCTGTTGTTCAGAACCCTCACACTGAACACTCCCGTTGTTCACAACCCTCACAGTGAACACTCCTGTTGTTCACAACCCTCACACTGAACACTCCTGTTGTTCACAACCCTCACACTGAACACTCCTGTTGTTCACAACCCTCACAGTGAGCACTCCTGTTGTTCACAACCCTCACACTGAACACTCCTGTTGTTCACAACCCTCACAGTGAACACTCCTGTTGTTCAGAACCCTCACACTGAACACTCCCGTTGTTCACAACCCTCACAGTGAACACTCCTGTTGTTCACAACCCTCACACTGAACACTCCTGTTGTTCACAACCCTCACAGTGAACACTCCTGTTGTTCACAACCATCACAGTGAACACTCCTGTTGTTCACAACCCTCACACTGAACACTCCCGTTGTTCACAACCCTCACACTGAACACTCCCGTTGTTCACAACCCTCACAGTGAACACTCCCGTTGTTCACAACCCTCACACTGAACACTCCTGTTGTTCACAACCCTCACAGTGAACATACAAGATATACCGGAGATATACTAGCCCCATAAGGTCATACACGACTCCCTTGCAACAGAACTAGGTTCCTATGCCATGTTTGGGTTGATAAGGTGAGCAGCCCGTCCTCCAAAAATGGGGTGGTAAATGTAAGGAGACAAATAAGTGCAATTATGTACTATTCATAGCAGTTAGGAATTGTACTTATTTTCACTTAGTATTAAATCGTACTGTCAAATATATTGTGAATATTTGAGTTTACCTGAAAAACTGAATAGAAAACCACAACCTCACCTAACCGTCTTAGTTTTTGAAGATAAGGTGGAGTGTGAAGAGGTTAGGAATGTTGCTATGACTGACCTTGGTGTTGGTGCAGGATCATCCAGTGGTCGGGGGAGTACAGCGCTGACGGCAGCATGCTCTACTACACCAGAGACGGAGAGACAGAGACTCTCTTCTTGCCGGGACCTGTCAAGCGCCCGCTCACTCTTATGGTAAGTCTTATCCCGTGTACCTGACCGGGTCCCTACTCCTGGTAAGTGGTCCCTGTGAGAGCATGGTGGTCCTTCACCCAGACCCCCGTGTACCTGACCGGGTCCCTACTCCTGGTAAGTGGTCCCTGTGAGAGCATGGTGGTCCTTCACCCAGACCCCCGTGTACCTGACCGGGTCCCTACTCCTGGTAAGTGGTCCCTGTGAGAGCATGGTGGTCCTTCACCCAGACCCCCGTGTACCTGACCGGGTCCCTACTCCTGGTAAGTGGTCCCTGTGAGAGCATGGTGGTCCTTCACCCAGACCCCCGTGTACCTGACCGGGTCCCTACTCCTGGTAAGTGGTCCCTGTGAGAGCATGGTGGTCCTTCACCCAGACCCCCGTGTACCTGACCGGGTCCCTACTCCTGGTAAGTGGTCCCTGTGAGAGCATGGTGGTCCTTCACCCAGACCCCAGTGGTTGCTGCCCTCGGCACTGGTCAGCACCATCACCCCATAACCACCTCCAGTACAGTGTCCTCACATTGGTATTGGTATTTGTTGTTGATATGTTGTGCTTGCGGGGGTTGAGCTCTGGCTCGTGGGGCCACTTAGAAGAACATTACTAACTTTTAAACTAACTATAAATATATAGCATAGAGAAAGATTTATTCTTCAAGATAAGTATTATTGTTTTGAGGGAGCCGAGTAGACAGCACGCTGGACTTGTGATCCTGTGGTCCTGGGTTCGATCCCAGGCGCCGGCGAGAAACATTGGGCAGAGATTCTTTCACCCTATGCCCCTGTTACCTAGCAATAAAAATAGGTACCTGGGTGTTAGTCAGCTGTCACGGGCTGCTTCCTGGGGGTGGAGGCCTGGTCGAGGACCGGGCCTCGGGGACACTAAATAGCCCCGAAATCATCTCAAGATAACCTCAAGATATAGCAGTAAATAGGTACCTAGGAGTTAGACAGCTGTTACAGGCTGCTTCCTGGGTGTGTGTGTCTGTGTATTTCACCTAGTTGTGCTTGAGGGGGTTGAGCTTTGGCTCTTTGGGCCCCGCCTCTCAACTGTCAATCTACTAGTGTACAGATTCCTGAGCCTACTGGGCTCTATCATATCTACACTTGAAACTGTGTATGGCGTCAGCCTCCACCACATCACTGCCTAATGCATGCCATTTACTAACTACTCTGACACTGAAAAAGTTCTTTCTAACGTCTCTGTGGCTCATTTGGGTACTCAGCTTCTACCTGTGTCCCCTTGTTCGTGTACCAGCCGCGTTAAATAATCCATCCTTGTCCACCCTGTCAATTTCCCTGAGAATTTTGTATGTGGTGATCATATCACCCCTAGCTCTTCTGTCTTTCAGCGACGTGAAGTGCATTTCCCGCAGCCTTTGCTCGCAACTCATGCCTCTTAGTTCTGGGACCAGTCTAGTGGCATACCTCTGAACTTTTTCCAGCTTCGTCTTGTGCTTGACAAAGTACGGGCTCCATGCTGGGGCCGCATACTCCAGGATTGGCCTTATATATGAGGTATGTATATATACCTCATATAATACAATGTTCTGAAGGATTCCTTACACAGATTTCTGAAAGCAGTTCTGTTGTTAGCCAGCCTCGCATAGGCCGCTGATGTTATTCTTTTTATTTGGGCTTCAGGAGACAGGTTTGGTGTGATATCAACTCCTAAATCTTTCTCTCTGTCCGTTTCATGAAGGACTTCGTCTCCCATTCGGTATCCAGTGACTGGCCTCCTAGTTCCTCCGCCTAGTTTCATTACCTTACATTTACTCGGGTTGAACTTTAGCAGCCATTTGTTGGACAATTCCTTCAGTTTGTCTAGGTCATCTTGTAGCCTCATACTATCTTCCTCTGTCTTGATCCTCCTTGTAATTTTTAAATCATCAGCAAACATTGAGAGGAACGAGTTTATTCATTCCGGGAGATCATTTACGTATATCAGAAACAGTGTAAGTCCAAGGACTGATCCCTGTGTTACTCCACTGGTGACGCCTCACCACTCCGAGATCTCCTTCACTGTGACCCGCTGTGTCCTGTTGCTTAGGTACTGCCTTATCCAGTGGTGGAGGACCTTCCCTTTCACTCCTGCCTGCATCTCCAATTTGTGCACTAGTCTCCTATGTGGTACTGTGTCAAAGGCTTTCTGGCAGTCCAAAAATATACAGTCTGCCCAGCCCTCTCTCTCATGCCTAATTTTGTTGCCTGGTCATAGAACTCAATTAATCCTGTTAGGCATGATTTGCCATCTCTGAACCCGTGTTGATGTTGTGTTACAAAGTTCTTTTGCTCCAGATGTTCCACTAGCTTTTTTTGCACAATCTTCTCCATTATCTTGCATGGAATGCAAGTTAGAGACACTGGCCTGTAGTTCAGTGCCTCCTGCCTATCACCCTTCTTGTATATCGGAACTACATTAGCCGTCTTCCAAATTTTTGGCAGTTCACCTGTTACCAGTGATTTGTTGTACACCATGGAGAGTGGCAGGCACAGTGCCTCTGCTCCTTCCTTTAGCATCCATGATGAGATTCCATCCGGGCCTATAGCCTTTGTCACATCGAAATCTAGCAGATGCTTCCTCACCTCCCCACTGGTAATCACAAACTCCTCTAGTGGTGTCTGGGTTGGTGTTCCCTCCCTTATCTCTGGGACTTCTCCTTGCTCTTAGGTGAAGACCTCCTGGAACTTCTTATTGAGTTCCTCACACACTTCCTTGTCGTTTGTAGTGAATCTGTCTGTCCCTATCCTCAGTTTCATTACCTGTTCCTTCACTGTTGTTTTCCTCCTGATGTGGCTATGTAGCTGTTTGGGTTGAGTCTTCGCCTTGCTCGCTATGTCATTTGTGTCATGTGTGTGTTGCTATTGCGTGCGTGCGTGCAGGACCGCGCCGATCTGATCCTGGCGTATGGTCCCCAGCAACCTCGGACCAGTGCCACAAGGAGTGCCTTGTTCTGAAAGATGCCGAGTCGACAAATGTAGGCATATGGACGGCGCCCACCAAGACGTGCAGCAAATGATATCCTTGCAGGTGACAGTTTATCCATCTCCCCCTCATAACGATGGGTGGCGCCCAGCACCAGTGTTCACGCTACAGTGTTGCAGGTGGTCGGACGTGTCGGGCCCGGCACTGACCTCACCATCACTCTTCCTCCACTCTCAGACACCTCAGACGGACCCATAGTTCATCCAATCAGGTGTCCGTTGTTGGAGAAACTGCCTTGTGATGGGTGTCCTATGTTCCAGTGTCTTGTTATGAGATACGACGGTGTGTGAGCTAGTTGTGGTTGTGGGAGTTGAGCTCTGGCTCTATGGTCCTGCCTCTCAACTGTCAATCAACTGGTGTACAGATGCCTGAACTGGAGCACAGATTCCTGTCCATATTCTGTGTGTTATAATGTGTACTCTCTTGAGCTGTTAATACGTCCAAAACACATCGTGTTATGGGACGAGTGCCACGAAGGAAGAGGCACTCCCCATTCATCAGCGGCTAAGAGGAGGAGCATGCGTCAGAATGTGTGGTGTGGTTGATGAGTAAGTACTCTCTTAATTTGTGCACACACTAATAAATCACACTTTGCAGTGCCACCCCTTGAGTGTGGTGGTGTTTCTTGTGTGAGTGTGGCGGGGGCCACTCATAGGCAGAACCATCCGGCACGGTGCTGGTATAACCAGGCACGTCTGTGATGTATGGACAACCCGACCCTTGTGGCCGTGACACATTATTCTCGACCATCATGGGCAGGTCCTAATTGACCTGTGCATATGGCAGTGGTGTCAGGCAGCCATTACTGGCGACGTTGGTGACTGATAAAGGTGGCTCTTCCCTGCCCGTGTAGGAGACTGCACGTACCTCCTGCCCGTGTAGGAGACTGCACGTACCTCCTGCCCGTGTAGGAGACTGTACGTCTCTCCTGCCCGTGTGGGAGACTGCACGTCTCTCCTGCCCGTGTAGGAGACTGTACGTCTCTCCTGCCCGTGTAGGAGACTGTACGTACCTCCTGCCCGTGTAGGAGACTGTACGTCTCTCCTGCCCGTGTGGGAGACTGCACGTCTCTCCTGCCCGTGTAGGAGACTGTACGTCTCTCCTGCCCGTGTAGGAGACTGTATGTCTCTCCTGCCCGTGTGGGAGACTGTACGTACCTCCTGCCCGTGTGGGAGACTGTACGTACCTCATGCCCGTGTAAGAGACTGCACGTACCTCCTGCCCGTGTAGGAGACTGTACGTCTCTCCTGCCCGTGTAGGAGACTGCACGTACATCCTGCCCGTGTGGGAGACTGTACGTCTCTCCTGCCCGTGTGGGAGACTGCACGTCTCTCCTGCCCGTGTAGGAGACTGTACGTCTCTCCTGCCCGTGTAGGAGACTGTATGTCTCTCCTGCCCGTGTGGGAGACTGTACGTACCTCCTGCCCGTGTGGGAGACTGTACGTACCTCCTGCCCGTGTAGGAGACTGCACGTACCTCCTGCCCGTGTAGGAGACTGTACGTACCTCCTGCCCGTGTAGGAGACTGTACGTCTCCCCTGCCCGTGTAGGAGACTGTACGTACCTCCTGCCCGTGTAGGAGACTGTACGTACCTCCTGCCCGTGTAGGAGACTGTACGTACCTCCTGCCCGTGTAGGAGACTGTACGTACCTCGTGCCCGTGTAGGAGACTGTACGTACCTCCTGCCCGTGTAGGAGACTGTACGTCTCTCCTGTCCGTGTAGGAGACTGTACGTACCTCCTGCCCGTGTAGGACACTGTACGTACCTCCTGCCCGTGTAGGAGACTGTATGTACCTCCTGCCCGTGTAGGAGACTGTACGTACCTCCTGCCCGTGTAGGAGACTGCACGTCTCTCCTGCCCGTGTAGGAGACTGTACGTACCTCCTGCCCGTGTAGGAGACTGTACGTACCTCCTGCCCGTGTAGGAGACTGCACGTCTCTCCTGCCCGTGTGGGAGACTGCACGTCTCTCCTGCCCGTGTAGGAGACTGTACGTCTCTCCTGCCCGTGTAGGAGAC